TCTTAGGCTGACTGTATGGCTTAAGGTTATTTCCGAAGTGAATCAATGAAATGCTTCATTTGGAGTGAAGCAGAGAGGTGATCGAGGAAGAGCTATAATATTTCAGACTGATATTACAATGCTGTACTTTCGACGGATTACGTTTCTCACAAGATGTCGGAGTAACGAATGTCGGTCCAGGAGAAGCGATCACTGGAGGTGAAGTGATACGCGATGGTCGTCAAATCAGCTTTGACGTGATTGCAAATGTCAGAAAGGTCATGGATGCCAACACCCATGAGTATGCTCATCTGCTCATATTCTACCATTCATTCATCCACCTAAAACTTTGAAAGTATCAAAATTTGAGAAATGTGAACAAATCAACTCAGTCATAAAAATCTCACAATCAATGAACATGCTGGTTGTAAAATAGTGTTATGGAATCATTTCGATGACCATTTAATCGAACTTACTTTGCCTTCGACTCTTTCGAAGTCGAAACCGTTGAATGCTCACACCTCAGAACTTTTCAGAATCTCGTACGAAGTAACAGTTCGTCGAATGAACTGTTTACCCGATCCACCTGAACCTGAAGTTCCATGTAGGTCCTTGATCCATTGCGTTGCCTAATTTCTAATTTTCGGCATCACTGATCTCTTCTATTGATCAAGAGCGATTCAAGCAAGTTAGAATGAAATTCAAACGCGAATTCACGGAAACTGTATCAAACTAGGCAATGTTTTATTTGTAAAATTGAAATCTTTCAATAATTTGTATGCATGATGAGAATTTGGCAATAAATGCTACAGAATTAGCAGAAGAGAACTCATTTTCACTTTACTAGTCGCAAGATGAAAAATGTGTGCGAAATTATATAGTTCCAAAACAAGGACAACCCTAACGGTAAACTAAGCAGTACGTAGCTGAGATATATTAAACAAGTTAATAGNAATTCATTTGTTCGCTGCATATTTCAGTTGATGCCGGTGTGTCAGCAGAGGTGGTGAAGATATTGACGAAAGCGACAAACGGTGCCAGTTTGGGGGTGGATTCAAACGAGGAAAAAAAGGATCGCTTGAAAGATTTGAATGAAGATAGAGCATTTGCTGTACTGACGCACAAATTCAACGAAAAGAAACACAAAAAGTTGGTGAATGAATATGCTTGATCGCTAGTCTCGCTGTTGAAATTGAGCAATGCCATCCCTTAAAATCTATTTCAAAGCTTTAAGTTGCAATGCGTTCAAAAATTTTGCGTTTTAAAATTAGCCCTACAAACATATGTGTTGATCAAAGAAAATTTGATGCGCTTGCAGGAATTCCCACGGAGTTGATAAATCAGAATCTGGAAATGCTGAAACAGATACACGACCAAAAGGTGATATCGCAAAAGAAAAGCCCGACACCGAGCAAACAGCCGTAAAGAAGGAATTGCCTTCAAGTGCAGCATCTGAAAAGTCGTCAACTCAGGTTGAACCATCTGCTGTAACAAATGAGTCAGCAGGTTCAGTTGAGGCGTTTGCTGTGACAGAAAAAGTTCCGGCTAATGTCGATTCAGCGTTGCATCGACTGACTTCAATGGGAATCGCTCTGCCCGGCACGATACATATTGGCAATGTTGGAGATGGCCAATCGGCTGAGATCACTGGATTCAAGCAGTCCGCTAGATTCCAACCGCCAAATGCCCCAATGTCCCTCTTCAACGTCGCAATCCGTCCCTCTCAGGGCGCAACCAATCTACCACAACCGAATTTCGGTAGTGGTTTTCCATTCAACCAACCAGCACAACCTAATTTCTGGCCTCAAAATCAAGCTTTCGGTGGTCAATACGGCGAACAACAACAACAACAACTTCCTCATCCGAATGAACAATTGCAAGTCCGCCCAGTCTCAGGCGCACCTGAAACTGTTTTGAGAAATGTGCAAAACGAAACGATCCCAGAGATCAACTCGGATAAGAAGAAAGGTATTCGAATATCACCGATACGTAACGATCATACGAATCAAGACAATCGTGAAGCAGTGCAACAACCTGGTCAACTTAGCTCTGCCTTGCCACAGTCACTATTCCAAAGACCACAACCTCCGAATCAACCATTTGCCAACTTCAATCAATTCTTCGCGCAACAGCCCTTCGCACGTACTACCGTATTTTCCCAGCAATTCCCATTCTTGTCGCCGCAACAACCCGCTTCTTCTCTGCAGCAAAACGCATTCCAAAACGTCCCACCTCAGTATCAGCCCCAATCGTTCAATGGTGGTGTATTCCCACCTCAACCCTCACAGCCTAACTCTTCACCACTCATCTTCGGCGCACCATTGGCTGGTATCAATCCTGGTTTTGCTCAACCGAATTTCACTCCAACCGCTTCGTTAGCACGAGCCAATGTGAATGCACAACAAGCAGCTGTAAATCCAGCCCAAGCAACTGCTTTATTAGACAATAACGGCTCTCCAGCGAATGTTGTCAGTTCTGCAACTCCTCAACCCCAACATCCAACTTTATTCCCAACAATCCCACCACCAACTTTCGCAACTTTGCCCTCATTCGATCAGGTGATGGCTTTGTTCAGACGACAATCAAATGTGACGTTCGCCCCATTACCTACTCTCCCAACTTTACCTCCTATATTTCCTGCATTCCATCTAGGTACGCCCGCACCTCTCCAGCCTATTGTTGCACCCTCAATACCCAACTCAGTATCTACGGCACAAAACGGCTCATCTGATCAACAGACAAAACTACAAAAAAATGCCATCAAGGCTTGAGACTACAGGTACTCATTGTTCTTGTCCTTCAATTGCTGTATTTTCCAGCCTCGATAAGTGCTCGGTAGCATACAGAGATGATAATGAACAGATGGAGGTTTTGATTGGATGTGATGAGAGGAGGAATTCTTAGATGGGAATGACTGACTCTTGGCGATAAGTCAAACTTCTCGTTCGATATTTCGATCACTTTCCAGTCGCAATTAAAGAGTCTCAAACTTTGCTGAAGTTTATGAATTCGTTTTGCCAGCAACGATTGCTCATTGAACGCTATTTTCAGTGTCCGATCAATGTTGGTTTGTTGAGGAAGCAATCGTAATTAAAGCACGACATCATGGTCGCCGCTGATCCGTCGCTTAGACGGTGTGTAAATTCACCGAAAACCTTACGAAATCTTGTTTGTTCTTCCAATGGAATGACTTTACATTATTACTTGTGCATATCTAGATGTTTTGCGGGATTACTGAATTCCGAGTCGATTAATTTATTATTTCACATTGTAGATTGTATTCAGTTGCTGAATAATGTATTCGATAAAATCATATCAAACAATTCAGATCATACTTCGAAGAAATTTATGGCTTATTTTATTGATGAGCTGAATCTTGAGATGGCTGAGGTCAGTTTATAGAAGCAGCTGCATCGATAGGAGATTGCACCCCGAGTTTTTGTAAATGTTCTGATAGCATTGCGGCTGCATTCCGATGATAGTTTGAAAGTACTTCAAAATACTGAAATACATTCCTTGTGATTGGTGCGGACATAACTGAAGGAAATAAAGGAAATTTGCGAGGTGAATATTTGGAAACCTAGAGAACTCGAGTTCTTTCGATTGATACAGAGCACTCGGAGCAATGTATATGTTTATGCATTCATATATTTACTTTGATTGGTTCATAGAAAAAAATAAATAAAAGATTCAAATGAACCAGTGAATTTAGCAGTTACCTCAAGAATTTCCTTTGAATGACTTTCTTTGTCTTCGGGCAATTTCTCGGGATACGATGCAACTTTTGCGGCTTGAGTGTCGAACTCATGAACACAACGCTCATAAAATTTACCTTTCTCTTCAACCATTTCATTCGTTCTTGCTTGTTTTACCTGAATTACACTTTATCGAAAATACTTGCTGCAAAAGAAATCACTTGTATAAGACAGTAATCATGATTAGTTAGTTATCACCTTCTAGGGCAGTTTTTGCGCTTAAGTTAGTGAAATTATCCTCAATTTGCGCATTGACATGAAAATATCTAATTGGATCTCACTATTGTTGTCAGCTGCCCAAGCAAAAAAAAGATCACTGGCATTTTTAACGGAGTTTCCACATCGTTTTTTTTATAAATCTTCTATTTCATTGCTTCTATTCGACCGTGAATAACTTTGACGTCAAAGGTAAATGGACGTAAGCATCAACGACCCAGGGTATGTGTAGGTGCAAAAAACATTCTGAATGTTCCAGTGAATTAATGAGGCGCCTTGAAGTTACGATCTTCACTCTAATTCACCGGTCACTGATGCGTTATTTCTGAGAGGGGTCACCTCGTGTCGTGCTGCGTCCATAATATCTCGTGCTTTCATCAACTTTTTCTGATCCTCCATCATGGACGCTCGATCACCCGCGATGAAACGACGCATTTTCCTGATTGCACGTCGACCTCAAGTTAGCTTGATAAATTTGCGAGCAATAATGGGCAAGCGTTCTCCATCGATAAACGCACCGTTTCGTGAATGTTTCAAATGGATGACTACGCGAAACAACTTCTGCTTCAACGAGTAATAATCGGCCGATAATATCCCCAAAAAACAGATAAGAAGGAATGTTCGCTTAAATTCTGAGTGGTTCGGAAAGATGAGCATAAAGCGACTTAAAAAGGACTTCTAGAGCAAATTACATATGGCGTTTAATGTCTCAATAAATTATTGCCAAAACGAGCCTTTAAGTTGTGTCTCACGATGCATTAGGGCCAATCGTTTAACAATAGCTTCAACTGTCACGGTTGACTCCTAGAACATTGCATATCAGATGTTTTGGTGGATTGATATCGATACGTTTGGGGTGTCTTCAACTTTCTGCAGAGCGTTGGGATTCATTCAAGAAAATCGTGGTATTGGCAATGGGATCTGCACTTCTGTTTTCACTGATCTTCCACTGAATCATTGATCTCATGTTCAAGCATACTATGTCCACAAAACAGGACACACTTCTAGTCCACCCCCACATCTGCCAGAATATTTCAACGGAGTATCGCTTCAACATCTTTCAGAGCTTCCACGCGAGAGGGTGTTCCAACGGTGAATACCTTCTTGTCTTCGGGCTGAAACTGGCGAAAAGCTTTAATATTTTTTGCGAATTTCTCGTATGGATCCATTTTCTCAGCACATTCAATCGACCCATCGGCTAGTATTTTTGCGTCGTTCTGGAGTACTGATTCTAAGCTGACGACAGTCTTTTCAACTGCATCTTGATACCTACAAGAAATTGTATCGTTGCGAAAAAAACATACCATCTGTAGTCATTAATAGTGAGTTGAAATAAATCTATCATTTACTTATTCTTCCCTATTGGACATCCTATAACTTATCATAATGTTCCATTCCACCTGCCGCTTTTAGACATCCACCAACATGTCCCTCAAACCGCACTCAATTCAGAAGTTACCTTCAATAATCATTCATAGCATCAAGATTAGTTCAAAACCCTACTTGTAGTAATTTTCGATTTCAGCTATGAATTCTGGTGCAAGTCGAGTTTGTTCAACTATGCCGAGTCTTTCGCCAACCTAAAATTGTGAATTCTTATTCAATTACAAAACCAATTCGTCAAAAATTATAATACTTCTACGTAGAGTTGTCTTCAAAACGGAGATAGAGCTGAAACCTTGAAAAGCATTCGTCCCACAGGTCCCCTTTCCTTCTTTTTCTTATCCTCCTCAGCATTGCCGGCGTCGCTCATCACCTAAATGCACCACCCACGCGCTATGAATTCGTAAAAATAATGTGGACTTTGATAAAGTCCGGTTGTTTGCTCGTGTATAATACATGCAAAGAAAGATACNGACAAATTATGTGCAATGCATATTAATTCACTACTGCCCGCATTCTTTCGCTTTTCTTCGCAAATGAATTCATTTCTAAAATTAGAAATAAATGAGCATATCAGTGGCAAAGATACGCACTTGTCTGCGCTGAAAAGAAAAACGATAGAACAAACATTCGAGTGCGATAGACCGAGTTTATCTAGAAGTGGTTTGCATGAAATAATTCGTTTTAGTGCTTCATGCTGTCACAAATAGATATCTTCAGTGTGACCGAATATCCAACACGACATGTTTATAAAAACAGAACCGTGAAAGCAATTTTCGTGTCGTCTTCTCGTATACATTCCCTTTTCTGTTGACTTCGAATGCACATTCAGAGGTAATAGCAATGCTTCTCAACAATTCGATAAGTTAACATGCTGAGCATTTCAGCACTTTGAGTTTATCTCTCGTCACAATCAGCACAGACGGTAGGGATGGAGATAATTCGAAAAGAGACGAGCATTTTTGTCAACTGCTAATGAGAGTGCATTCGAACCGTCTGAGTTATGAAAATGCGACAACAAATTACGATTATGACGGATTGGCCTCTATTTTCAATGTGATATTTAGAAACGGATCCATTGGGAACACCACATTGCTCTTATTTGAGAAACTAATTGGATTCGAAAGAACCATTGACGAAAAGATCCAATTCAAAGAAAGTTGTTTTGCTTACGATTAATGTGATCTCTTTCCGAAACGGTTCATCGCGCGGTGTTTTGCCCACAGCTAAGTTTCTCATCGCATTCGAATACTAAACCAACATGTTCATGCATTATCTCTTCAGTGCGAGTTGTACTTGTGTTCATTCTTGGAATGTTCATCAAATGTTTCTGTTCCAACGAACACTAACTTTCATGATTTATTCCTATGTGACAGTTCATCTTCACATACGCACACGTCTGTTTTGAAATTACTGCTAATGCTAAGAAGATTGCTCATCAACTTGCAGTTGCGTTCGGTGTTAATTGCATATTCCCGAACCTTGCTCTGTTTTCGGGTCTGATGATGAAGCTGAAAATAAATCCAGCAAACAGACGACACAACTCATCGAAGTGAGCATAAATAAAGCAGAAAACTGCGATCGATTAATGCACTGAAATGGTGTCGTTGCACTCGAGATGCATCTTCTATGTGAATGCAGATTAACAATAATGCATCGCATGCTCACAAGCTATTGCAATTAAATGACGTCCCTGGTTGGATTCAGCCTGTAATTTCATTATTTCTTTATGGCAACTGCAATTGTTATTTATATGTTCATTCGCTTTCACATTGAGGTGACATACTTCAACCATATACTCTGCTATTGATTAGCAGACCTCCTCTGCACCAGTCCTCTTTTCCTTCAAAAATAAACGAATGATTCTTTCCTATCTATTTCATAAGTTGAACATAGCTATCTATCCAGTTCACGTGAAGAGTTGCACTTTGTGCTGTTTTGATCACATTTAGGGATGCATTGACTACGAGCTAATACAGATTTATTGTCTTTGCAAATCTTATCGACTTTTGATTGGTCACATACCACACAAACTGCGCATTATCATGTCATGACCTTTATCAATGAACGACGTTCAGGCAAATTCGAAGGTATCGTGCGTGATGTTCACCTCATAATAAAGTCTGACAAGCTTACTAGACTAGCTGTCAGTTCCGGATTACTGATCGCATATCAAACAAATACATAAAGGCTTATTAAGTAGGACAAGTGTCAGTGTCTGTGAAGCCTACATAATGTTGGTGCTCCCGAAGGGAGATGAATGCAACTGCGGTTNAAAGTCGTATGCGATTGTGATCAGTATTTTTTCATCGTTCCAACGCTCTCATATTTTCGAAATCCACGAGCAATATTCCATTTTTTGGTAGTGCAAATCGAGCTAGCCTTTGGCCTCTACGAAAAAAATTCGACTGAAAACCTTCGATCGAATCTCTGTGAATTAACATCATTAGTAATTTCACCGAAATTCTAGTTTGAGTTTAGTAAACAAAATAAATACCATGATTGCAACTTTTAAGTATTCACTCCCATGCTGCAGTTTTCATAACAAAAATTATGAACTCAAAAAGTAGGTTATTTAAAACCGAATCTCAGATATTCTTCGACGATAATTCAAATTCAAATAGTTCAAATCATTTTTGAATGTTTTTGGCTGAACTTCGCTGGTTTTTTTCGATTATTGCAGCAGCGAAAGTTGTTCATCATTTTCGAACCGTTGGAAGAACAGATAAGTAGTGCTTTGATTAGGCTGTCATCAGCAAACAGTTGTTGATGTGAATATTGGTGATAGCCTCATCAGGATAGTTCAATTAAATATGTCATTGTGCAAAAGTGTTGGGTCGGACACACCCTTATGCATTATTCAACGAAATGCAATAATCGTATCTGTTGCATTATGTGACGAATTAATTTAGTTCAATTTGTGTTCGTTGCGGATGCTTGAACAGATGGTTGCATGAACATTTTACTATGTTGCAATCTGATATCCGAGAGAAGTACTCTCATTCTTCGCGTTCAAATATCTCATTTCAAATGCCTCTTTTATATTTCATTAGATTTTCTCATAAGCCTGTTGCATTCAATACATTTTTATCTCATCGTCAGCATTTCGCATCAACACTATCTCTACATCATGAGATATTTGCATTCGTAATGACCGCTGCATTATTAAAAATCATTTATGGACTGTGAAAACTTACACATTTAATAACCATTATTTTTTTATTCAAGAGACTATTGTGTTGCTTGACAAGTGCTGACTGATGTGATCAATAAACTGTATATGGTTTCAACTTAAAAACTTTTCAATCTTTGGCGAGGTCAACCTTCACTCACGTGTGCCAGCTCAATGTTCCTCGCTTTCAGGAATTCCTACTCATTTCTCAAATCTGACCAATCTTGTCTTTCGTTGAATTTTTACAGTCAGAAATGCTGCAAAGCAATTCTTTAGAGNGAATCTGTCTCAGTCTGTCTTGGCTGTTTCTGTTTGTTCGAATAGCGATTATTATGACAACAAATTATTCCAATCACTAATATTCACAGCTTCGATCTGTGTCATTGAGTGGTATTTATATAAACTCATTGCAAGTTGGATAATTGTGATGTAATACGAATACAAAATTCTGATGTGATTCCAGTCTGCCGAATCTATTCATAAGGTTATTTCAACAAGCGATTGCGATGTTGCTTAGATTATATGTACAAAATAATGCTTCATTCTTGCGGTTGATCGGACTCGACACATGTTCCCATAGTATTTCTCACATAGAGTTCGGCTAATGCAATTTATTTTTGGCAAATCTGGGGATGTATTGATGTGATATCTCAATATTGCAACTGCTCCAACTCGTTCGAATGATGACGATTCGTTGGCTAACACATCGTAGCTGTCCCATCTCAGTGCTTCATCACCACGACTGAATGAAAAGCACATTTGTGTTGTAATTCTTACCACGTATCAACAACATAATCATAATTTTGCCACATTTTCAAGTTGAATACTCAGCTTAGGCCTGTGAATAACTAACTGTTGAGGTAGTTATTGATTTTCTACTGTTAGAGTTGGATTGCGTGAAAATTACTGATGACAGATCTGGATTGTACACCATGAAATTCTTCCAATCTTCCATTAAGTAAATTCATTGCGAAAATACTATCATGTGGATTAGAGAAGTGAACATTCAGATTCTACCACAAAATCTGCACATAAAGAGTTTTTATTCAAAAATGCATGGTCGACGAGGATTCGAAATCAGTGCAAATGTGAAAACATATTTCATCTCTTCAGTAATTCTTTCGAATTTGCATACAGTGGTTTTAAATGTTAGCCAAGGAACGCGTTATACGTAACGTAACTTGACCATATTGTGGTTCACTTCGCTTATTTCTTCAAATGGCTTTCATATTATGAATGACTGCATACAATTCGGGTACTGCACATTGAAAATGAAAACGAAATGATTATCAAACCAAGTTCACTTATTTGTTCGAAATGTCAACAATCTCGTTTCATTCAGAAGCACATCGTTGAAACCTGTGAGTTGCGGCGGTTGCAATATGAACATGTTTTACTGGCTTGGGAACTACATCAAAAGACGTTGATCTAGTGCGAGATGAAACGAAATAGCTTGTTTGATCGAAAAAAGTCAGAAGATAGCCGTAAGCGCTGCGGAGAAAACTTTCAACGATCACAGATTTCTATGGTAACTATGCAAAGCAATATGTCAACCTCTGACCAGTTCGGGTGGTGATCGAGTATTGCAGTCAATCTATCTATTTCCACATATTCATAATACTCAGCAGTTATGCCACTCATTTCTCATTTTCCTATCCATCTTCATAAATAACAAAACAATGTGATATCTTGAGCTTCCAACAATATTTGTAGCGTTATTTCTTCCTTGAAAATTTATCGATCCTTGAATAATTATCTTGGAAAAAAATTTATCGATGACTGCATCAAATAATGGAAGAAGGTAGATGAGGATGGATAATTTGGTAGTCATTCATTCGAAGAATTGGGAATGTGATCACAAATTATGTAAATTCGTGCGCATTTTTTCCGGTTGCCGTATTCACAGCATTAGGATAAATCAAGCATTCTAAATGGAATCTTGTCAAGCATCTTGTCAAGACATGAACAGTAAATTGGGAAAAGCCAATAAAGGCATTCTTCAAACCTATTTCCTTGACGATTTCTGTCCATATTTCAATGCATGCATGTGAGAATTGTTATGTAATTAGAACACGATCACAATTTCATTTGTTTTCTTTCAAAATTTTCAGTAGTAATTCACTGAACAATAAGGAAAAGAAATTCGATCAGAATTGGACGCAGAGTTCTCAGAAAAATGTAGAGATTCTTTCATTTTA